TACCCCCCTATGAGTTGGAGTATTTCTTTTAGTTTGATCCTTGAAAATTCATGAGTTTGATCATATACCTATATTGATGCAGCTGAACTTTTAACCACAAACAAGCTATCAGAATTAGCCTGTTTGGCACTATATTTAATATATGAGAAGAAGCAGGGTAAGAAGTCTTTCTGGTATCCATATATTAGAGAACTTGACCGTCAGCGAGGTAGGGGGCAGTTAGCTGTTGAATCACCACTTTTATGGTCAGAGGTTGAACTAGATTACCTAACTGGAAGCCCTACAAAGGTTAGCTTATACTTGCCACATGCTTTATGTTGTTGAATGTAAAAGTTCACATATGAATGGAGTAACAATTGCTAACTATGTAGTCAGGCTGAGGTTCTGGAGAGAGCTGAAGGAATCAAGCGAGAGTATAATGAACTTGACACTGTCTGGTTCATGGCTGGTTCTCTATTTCAGGCAAGTCATCTCTTTACCTTAAAACTTACTGTTCATAATTTGTCACATAAAGAATTCCTTTATTGTTTTTTCCTTAGAATACGTGAACCTCTTTTTTAATTTTGAATGTTTTAACAATTTTCAGCAATACCCATATGATATACCTACAGAGGCTTTCCCATTCGAGATTTTCAAACAAGCTTTTGTTGCAGTTCAATCATGTGTGGTTCATTTGCAGGTGTGTCTTGTTCACAAATTATGGTGTTTGTGTAGTATCTCTGTGATGCTGTAACTGAAGTTGTCTTCTGATGTGTCATTCAAATTATATTATTTTTAGCATTTCCCAGAAGATATCAGTTATTTCTGTTTTCCTTTTCATCACAGAAAGTCAGTTTAGCCAGGAGATTTGCTTTGGTTCCTTTGGGACCTCCATTATTGTCCTATAGAAGCAACTGCAAAGCGATGTTAACTGCAGTTGATGGGCTTGTGCAACTTGTCGTTGATCGTCCCTATAAAGTTGGGGAACCTATTGTTGTCTGGTTATGCTCACTCACTCTCTCTCTCTCTCTCTCTCTCTCTCTCTCTCTCTCTCTCTCTCTCTCTCTCTCTTACTCACTCACACACACACACACACAATATTGTTTGTCTTATTCCTTGTTTTGACCTGTTCATATCATTTAAAATGCTTGGCTTACTTGGTGGTTATTTTCCATTTAGGTGTGGGCCGCAACCTAATTCAAAATTACTCATCAACTATGGTTTTGTTGATGAAGATAATCCCTATGATCGCCTGATGGTTGAGGTAAAATATTGTGTCCTTTCTTCTTTACTCGCAATTGTTTCGTATGGATGATCACTCTCTACTGTCGTTTAGGCTTCTTTGAATACTGAGGATCCTCAGTATCAGGAGAAAAGGTTGGCTGCTCAAAGAAATGGAAAGCTATCAGTACAAGTTTTTCAGGTACTTATCTATCGACTGTATAGACACATATCTATATATAGTCGGTACAGGTCATAGAAGAAAGAAGACAATTTTCATGCCCACTCGCTGATAGGACTGACTGACTATATACATATTGTGTTGAGGACTGTTTTCCAAGTTATATATAATACATCCTTGGACAGGTTTCTGTGGGAAAGGAAAAAGAGGCTGTGATGGATATGCTTCCTTATTTGCGATTGGGATATGTTTCTGATCCTTCAGAGATGCAATCTGTTTTATCTTCTCAAGGTCCAATATGTCCGGTAATCTCATACTGACATTTCACAGGACTGCATACTTATCATGTTTAATAGGAACCAAGGAGCCCCAAATTTCAGTCACACTTGTCTGCGTAAGATAGTATACACATATAGGAATTGATCTTCTACATTTTCCAGGTGTTCTACTATAAGATCAGCACACAGGCACACATACAAGCACACACAGCAAAAGTCAGATTTACAGATGTAGCTTTCATTTAGTGGCATTAAATAGTACCAGTTTTAAGTTGTTTTGAAAATGGGTTGTTGTTGTTTCACTTTGAAATTTTTCTTGATACACATAGGTGAGTTCCTGTATGGAACGTGCTGTTCTTGATCAACTGGCGGAATATTTTATAAAAAGACTTGCTGGTTATCCTACTACACTTTCTGAGGATGAGAACATGGTAACTACAAAAGACCTTTAAATATTTAGCTATAACTTTTTCTACAAGCTCCAATTGATTTCTTTCACTTTTAGCTTGTAGACCGCAGCATTAATCCAAAGCGACAAGTAGCTACGCAACTTGTCAGGCTGGAGAAGAAAATTTTAAAAGCATGTTTACAGGCAACGGTAGATCTGATTAACCAGTTGCCCGATAACTCTGTAGCCCCATGTCCTGCTCCGTATTCTCCGATTTTGAAATGGTAATTCTATGTATAAGTAATACTCTTGTGTTTCTAGTGTTGTCACCCCAGGTTTTAAAATGAGATGATGATTTGCAGATTCTTGAATCGTCATACCTGTTTATGGCTGGTGTCATGGATTTGTGATTTCACTACTGGCTGTAGATTGATGAGGTTGGTTCCATTGCTCTCATGAAGACCATCGTGCTGTCCACTACTATGATGTTTCATTTATCGAAGTCTATTAATTGGAATGTAGCACACAGACCTATTGATTTTAATCTGACGCCTTCTATAATTCATGAATAAAATGTGACCCATTTGCCGACCAACAAAACCACTTGCCAGCAGTAAGTTTGAATGATGAAAGTGGAACTATCAAAGAAGTGTATCTGCATCTGATTATTCTTCTTGCGTTGCATCTCTTGTCGTATCATGTTGCCTTTTGCTTATAAATTTCTTGTGGAAAAATGAAAATGTTTCCTTGGATGCCTGGCACATAGTTAAAGGATGGACAATGGTTGGATGGTTATGGCTAATATGTGAGGATATTGTTTACTTATAGGATATTTTGTGTTCTTGTTTTAGGTGGATGTCATGCAGGGATCAATACTGGACCTCTCACAGCACACTTCTTATCTGAAACAGTACTGAAGTTTGCAGTGTCCCTTTTTGCATTACGTTGTTATTTGAGGATGTGGATACGGAACACTCCCTGGTTTTAGTTTAGTATGTGGTTGTTGTATAGGAAATTGTCTTATCCTTTATATCCTACTGATGTTTTGTCGGAATCTGAAAAGTAGTTAAGTTCTCATACCAAGTCCCAAAGAGTAACTGTGGATGTTGGAGATGGATGAAACTGACTACAGATGGTATTTTGGCCATAGGCTGAAGGCATAATATCCGGACTATTAACTACTAAGCAGATAGTATGAACAAGATCAATTAAGTGAAACTGTCGCATCATGTTCACAATTTTTGTTTGTGCCTATGCTTTGGCAGATGGGAAAACTAAAGGTGATGTCTACATATGATCACTATGATAATAGTGCGTAAATGCTTACCTTGTTGTACAATGAGGGGGAGAATTCATATTGTTCTCCTGGATATGAATTGAATGCATGTTGCAAGATTAGGGAGACGGTAAAAGTATAGTATAAAGGAATATCTTTGGAGAGTGTTTTCAGAACTATCAATTAAAAGATTGATATTAAATTGCAATCATTTTCGTATCTATCGTATCCTAAAAATAATATGCCAAAACCAGGCTCTAATGCATAGAGGGGGATTTATTCAAGTGGAGTCCTATATTAATAAATTTATTGATATTTAAAATAACGCATAATATACAATTTATTTTTATAAAATATACAAAGATTCTTAAAAATATTGTATACGTATAATTTTTATATTATTTTGTATAAATAGTATTTGTTATTTTATACTAATTGTACATATTATGTTTTAAATTCATTTTTTTTATTATACTTTAAAAAATAAAAATAAAAAATATATGGGTGCGTAGGCGCCGCCTAACTGCCTAATCAACCTAGGTCGGACTAATTTTCGAACTGCTTGGACTGCCTAAACGGTGCCTAATTGATCGGGCGCATAGAATGAGCGCCTAGACAAAAATCAGGGCACCCGGGTGTCACCTAGTAGTGCCTATGTGCCGCCTAGGCAGACGCCTAGCCCGGGTTTTAGTACAGTGGCCAAAAACCCAGTCTGCATTACTCTAGAGTTATATACAGTGTCGCGCTTATGGATGGCAGCGGTTCGGGTTCGGATCGGATGGAACCTCAGGGCACCCAAAACGAAAACCCAAACTTAAAAACCAAAACCAAAACCAAAACTGTTTCGGGTGAAAATCCTTCACCAAAACCAAAACACGCGGATACCCAAAAACCAAACGGATACCCAAAAAACCAAAAATATTATAATAAAACACCAAAGACAACAACATAAAACATGATAACTTAGAGAGTACCAGACAACCAGTCACAAATTAGCAAGTACCAACGTACAGTACAAGCCATAAAGGTAGTAGAGTACATAGCTAAGCCAAGCCATCACGGGAGACGGGGAGAGGATAAGAGGGAGAGGAAATTTCCACTTATATAGCTAGGGTTTTTGGTGGGCTTTTTGATGGGCAGTCTATTTTGGGCACCCAACGGAGCACCACGGGCGAAATATAGGATCCGCACCAAAACCGAAGACTTTCGGGTACCCGAAACCGCAAAACCGTGGGTGAAATTTGAGAACCAAAACCGAAAACCGCAGAACCAAAAACCGCGGATATCCGAACCGAAACCGAACCGCTGCCATCCCTAGTCGCGCTACATTTGGCGCGGTACTATTTATTACTCTACAATTTTTATTTTTAAATTATTATTTGAAAAGATTTGTACCATTAAATTTATATTTTAATATTAAAATTATATGAAAATATTATTTTTTAAAATATAGATTTATATTGGATTACTATAAAATAAATCAAATAATATTTTATTTTATTATATGGAAATATTTCTTGTGGAACAATATTTCAAACTAGTAGAAAACCAGCTAACATCATGATATATTTTATTTTATAAATAGTATGTCAACTAAATAATATTATGACATGTTAAATAAATTAAAATAATATAAATAATATACGTGGAGTAGAATGTAACGCAAACGGTTGGAGACCGAATTTGATTTTTGTTTAACTCTACTCTAGAATAGAGATAAGGACTAGAGATGGTTAAGAAAAGTGATTTTCACGCCAAACGTTCTTTTTTTTTTAGTTTGCGTAATTAGTTAATATATATATAATAGGGTTGGGTTCCGGTGAGAATAGATCTCAACGAAAGAAATAAGAATGAATTTGGTACACATGATGAGATACATCGAACGACCACAATAAATTCGCTTGCATTTGCTTCCCCATAAATTTAAGGGTATAGACGTAAATGGCAGTCTTCATCAATGAATTGAGCTCCCAGCTGCAAGCCTGCAACCATCACCTATTCTCTAACCTCAATTTTCTCACAACTCTAATCTTACACCTCATTCAAGCGGCGATTTTTGTAAGCAAATCACATGAAATCAAGGGCAAATAATCCTCTCTCTTGAAATTGAAATTATCCCATCAATTTCGAGTTCGATCTTTTCCATCTTACAGTGGGATTTTAGACAAATTTTCAAATCGCGAGTCCGAGATTTACGATTGAGACGCCATACCATATCATTGAAAAACTCAGGTACATCAATCACCAACTATAAACCGACCAATATATCTGTTATTATATGAATCGAGTGTTGTAGGTTGAAATATCAACCTGTCGAGATATTGTAATATTCACATCGTAATTAGTACTGATATCCTTTGTTATTATATGTTCTTTTTTAGGGATTTTATACGTTTTTCTTGGTTGAGCCACATAAATAATGGAATTAAACGAATCTCAACCAGGTATTGAGACTAGTTTTATTTATACTATGGTAAAGTGCAACAATCAAACCTATTGTATGCAACTGTATGTTCACATCAGTGCAATCAGTGGGTTTAATTTATTAGTACTGATTTGTTTTTTTTTTTCGTCCTTCTCATGACACTTAAGACATGAAACCATTGGTTACGAACAATAATTTTTAATCACACTGTCGAACAAAATATTGGATACCACAATGCGACGAATCAATCAGGCCTTATAAAGGACATATGAAAAATTCATCGAATGTATGTTTTTTACTGTATGTATGTATTCGTATGCCGATAATGTGTATCGGGTGTGATATATGAGTACTAACATATGAAAAAAACTAACTGCAGACACATGCGACACATGCGACAGGTGGTTAATGGGAATTCGTCTCGAAGCAAATGATACGATTGGACATTTTTTTTAATGTTAGCTTTGTTTATATTCGTATTTTTTTTCTGGAAATGTATAGACGTTCGGTTATTTGGTTGACGATATGTAGCACTTGATTGTTGCCGTTAATTTTATAACAATCATTTTAATATATCTTTCTTTTTTTTTTTTTATAAGGAGAGTTAGTGTACCAGTTACGTAATCATTGTGTGTGCACAACATTCATGAACACGACATGTATATTGCACTTGTCTGCACACTACGTTGCACTTTTTCTCAGAAATTATTGCACCTCATGACTGTTAGCTGGACAACAAAAATAGGTGATATAATATGTAAGACGTAGTCAACACGTGAGATGGGTTGATTGGAAATTCGAACATATGTAGATACTATATTATTCTTAAAACCAAAATAATGTGTGGCAAGCATTTATTTACACGATTACAAAACCATTCACTATAGCGACTTAATACTCACGTACTCGCTTACTCGCGTACAACATTGCAACATTACACCATAACGTGTACTAACAACCTATTTGTACAAAATGTACATTTAGGCCAGTAGTACTAGTGACCCCAATATTAATACTTCAGACACATTCACATAATAAATACAACAACATCTTATTAAATACACTAAGTGGGAACTATATGAAAGGCGTTGGAGATCAACATTACATGTGACAATCGCTGGTAAAAACTTACATATATGGATTATATATAACAAATCGAAACAATATTACATTCAATACTTTTAACAATGTACACAAATATGTATGTTATGCGTCAACTTATCCCTTTAACGCGTACTTGTTACGTTGGTGTTCATGATACGTGATTGATACGTAATTGCACTATATCCATCAACTCGTTGCGTGTTACATGACGTATAATTGAACTTTATACATAAGTTGATTGTGCCTTATTATCATCGCCAAAAAATTGACGCCAACATTTGCACATGACTGACAACATAAGCGATTCCACGATATACACTACAGTAATGCAATTTATATCACCGCGTTGCACATTAAAAAACATCTCGTTGCACTATATAACATACCGTCTTGCACTTTATCAACATTCGTCACAATTAAAATATCGTTGCACTATATAACATACCGTCTTGCAATATATAACATACCGTCTTGCACTT